GACATTAATACTACCAGTAAGTATACTAATAAGCCAGTTCATAAGCGTGTTAGGACTACCTTATGCCAAATTCTCTTTAGTGAAACTTAGATTTACAGAATCATGCCCACCTGTACTTTGCTGACAGTTAGGCATAACAGTTGACGTCTGGGTTGAAATCGAGTAGTTAACATCTAGCTTTCTTCAGTATAACCCCAAACCAGATATTCAGTGCTTAGTGTTTTCGAACTCCGCCACATATGTTATCACTAAACAGCATTATTTGAGAACGAATACTCATTTATTTTGCGATATTCATCTGAACCTAAACTAATGCTAATGGTATACAAAATAACAAAGCTGATATATACTTGGATCCATTCGGTTAATAAAAACCTACACCTACTGAAAAACGAAAATACTAATGTACCAGGTTTAAGGTGTTCTTCAGTTTGTTTCACGACGGCAAACTGTGGAATTTGTACGAACTAATGTACTTGATTGCCCGCTGGTTTCGCTTTCCAATTACAATACGTTCATTTGTGCTTATGTAGTTCTACTCGCTGTTAATTGCATTATTTAGGAAATCCCTAGTTAGTTCATTGATTCAAATAATTCTAATAATCATACAAACCCTTATAATGTGTTAGGAATACTCCATGCATTTATTCATTTTATTAAAAACGTACTCATTTAGGGTCACGTTATAGTCATCGAAAAGAACAAAAAGTCATATATGACGCAATCAGAAGTTACATTTCGGGAATCGTATATTCATTCCACAGTTTAATTAATGGATATGTTTTGCGTAGAAGATTGAAACACTAGTTTATTTAAAGTATTATCCAAACATTCGTTACATTTTCAGAGGGAGACAAAACTTTACATACTTCAGTCACTAACAATTGTTCAGGTGAGTAAGGATTACTATTCAGTGATATGGTTTAATTTGAAAATAGTGTATATGATAGTGAGAAAACATGACTGAAAGATTTAAATCATCCAAGAAGTGAGATAAATATTACCGATGGTACTGAGTTAGTTCGCGTTTGGATTGAAGTTGAAAATGTGGATTATTATTTCATGACAACCGACATGGCGGTTCTGAATGCCTCGAACACAGGCGATAACAACTAAATGTATTTGAGTACAAAATGATATCTTTTAGTGAAATCTGAGAACCATTCAGTGAATACTTCATCTGCAAAATACCCATCAATTGTTTGAAACTGTCGTTTTTTCGTTTCCATATCAATCACTCTCTGTTCTTGGTATCTTCTCTTCGATCTTGTTAACTTTCTGCAGCCATGCATCCCACTTTTGATTAGTGACGCATACTAGTATATCAGTCGACATCAATAGCACACACCACAACAGGCGCATACTGACGAGGAGTTGCAAACGTAAGCGAAACATTCATCTCACTCGAGTTTCCAAAGGTTCTCCAGTCGATATCAGTCCACATCGACGACTAGTCTTAGATGTGAATAAGTGAATGATTTTTCCAAAAATAGCGATTACAATTAGTGTTTTATGTTGACGGAATCTATAGATACAAAAAGTGTTAATTTTCAGTTTACTCCATTCCTCAATGAGAATGAATCATATTACAAGCTGGAAGAGGGGTATTAGTGTATTTCTGTCACAAATAAATATGAATTGTCAGTTTTAGTTTGGAAAGAACAGAAGATTGGAAGGTTAGTCCCGAAAATAGGGACTTTTGATTTATCTAACCTTCTATGAACACATTTCCTTGAGATGCTTTCACAACATATTGAGCTGAAGAGCCTAACTGGTTAACGATTTGATGAGAAAGTCAACTCCCGGACGACGAGTAACTGTTCATAGGCTTGTTGACCTTTAAGTATATGCTCATATTCTTCTTATTATATAAGGTACAAGTAATGAGGACATATAGGAGTAGAATTCATCAGAAAGTAGCTTGAAGATTGTGATCGGATTATATCAAGTCTTCCTGCATGATAAGGGAATATTTGATTAAACCAACAGGTTCTCATACAGAAGTTCTACGACACGATAGATTAACTTAGTTGATGTCCCCTGAACCTTTTCTAAGAACTCAATATCGTTCTCAAGACGAGAGCTAATCGCTTCCATACAGCGTTCTAGTTTATGACTAACCCCATATTATTCCACATGTATTTATTCGCGATTTCACAATCGATTTACATTATAAGTCACTTGGAGATATTAACTAGGAACTCTGCGGCATCGCCTTTTTTGTGTTGTCCTACGTTTATTTTAACAAGGTTGATGTACAACGAAACTGACAACAACAGGTGACTAGGATGGTCGCTTTAACTTTAGAGGAAATAATACTGGTGTCAAAACTGTAACCTGGAAAGCTTTGTTAAGCGCTATTTTGCAAATAGACAACTCGGAGTTAGCATATACTAACTTTCTGTGTACAACTGGAAAGTTAGTTGTGTTAGACTCAAGTATAGGTTACGCTGATCAATTTCAATATGTACTTGTTACTTTTAAGAATTATTGTACATACCAAAATGATAAAGCCGTCCAAACATAAAATACATTATTACTGTATTAGAGAGAATACAAACTAGAAAGAAATTATCATTACTCATTTTCTGCATGAGTTAATCATTGTACAAATTTATATATAAGGTGAGTAAAAAATTCACAATATCCTTTTCTGACCATACCAGAAATAGGATATGCTCGTCTTGGTGAAAATAGCAACTGCAAAAATCACACCAAACATTCATACCAGTTGGATGATAATTAGCAGATAAATTGGCCGATAAAATTGTCATTCTAGTTTATATAAAGTTTAGTAATTTGTTCTTCGTTATGATATACTTTTTCTAGAAAATGAGATATTAGTATCCAATAAACATGTGAATAAAGGCCATACGAGCTTTATTCTATAAAATATCAATATTTTATCCTTTTTCAAATTACTCTCCATTTATGTTAATGCACCTGTCCTATTTTCGCTACTACTGTCTCAAAAATTCATGAAAGTTTACAGAAGTCAGGCTCTTTAGCTGACTTATCGTTCAACAATTTCCTCAACCAGAAATGTTCTGCTAAAATGTTGTATGCAAGCAATTTCCCACAGCTTCATTCATCAGGAATAATTGCGACAGAAAAATCGGTTGGGAATCAGAATAGACTGAATAAGTTAAATGCACTTATTGAAATAAAGTTTACAGTTGTGGCCGCTTCCCATTACTCTCGTAATATTCAGTTCTCGCTAAACAGCTTAAATCAAATGGAGGTGGCTGTTTTCTTCTGCGGGTAATCCACATAAACAGTATTGGACATAATTTTTCGTATGTGATGAATTTTCTCATCATTGTTAAAAATTGGAATTGGTCAGTAGCTTTTGGCATATGTATATCCTGAATAGAATGCCTTAATATTGCCATTTAGTCACAAGAACCTTAATAAAGTTATATAAAAGACGGAATGGGGATCCACAACACGCGTCTTGTCCTACGTTGGACGCCGTGGTGTGAACACAGGGGTTCAGGTACAAACCGTCGTTCCTCTTATATGGCTGTAATAGTTAAGTGAAAAAGGGGAGAAACCGAAGGAGAACAGAAAGAGCGTCATTTACCATCAATTTAAAACTAGTTTTTTTCAATTGATAAAAGCTTCAGACTAAAAATACACGACTGACAGAACTATCAATGATTAAAACACTTCTAAACGGAAGACCCGTATATGGTGGAGGGATCAAGGCAAAAGTGTGCACACTAACATAGTGACTATCAAAATAGGCCCAGATCAATAAACACAGTCACGTATAAATTAGTTTAATAATGTAATAGAGATATGTTATTTACATCTGTGAATTCTAATGGCACAGTTTGATGTCTAAAGTTGTAAGTCGAAACTGAGTGTTATACCAAGTAAAAAGTTTAGTATCTATCTGTTCCTATGATTTTGTAAGGGCATTTAAATCCGTGTTACTATCTCTGTGTGCTTTTTTACGTTATTGCTGGATCCCTGCCAGAATGCTTGATTTTCAATCTATTTAAACATTCGCTTTTTTGAGCAACAATAAATTTTCATGTGTTCGGATGAGTTATTTCAAGCCTCCACCCCACCGCCTTACAGTAATCTTTGTTGAAGATAGTCCACAACGAAACTGTAGATGCTTCATAGTATAATTCTGGAATTGGAGCCTCAGAGCCATATAAGTTAATCATTCCAGATATCTTTAAAAATAAATCACGAATACTTTGATTTCTTCATTCTCAACGCAGAATGGTGACTCCACTAAAATTTCAGATGCAGTTATAACACCCAAGACCGGCACACAAGTTGTCGTCAACTGATGGATGTGCAGAGAAAAGTTTTTATTCATTATATAGAGATGTTGACAGTTTGGTGATCACTGCAACCTCTTCCATATGGATGCTTATAAGGCTGAATGTTGGTTATCAGTCATGGTAGTTGATGGTTTTAAGTCGTACATAGTTTATTCAGCCCTTTATAGAATTTCTATTTACATTCATAAGAATGTAAGCCAGTGGATTGAATTTCATAGTTTAAATGATGTAGATGAACAAAGTAGTCGAGGTCTTTAACGTCCTATCGGCATATTAATGAGGATGTTATCTTAGCAATTCCAGATTCCGAGTTGTTGAAAATGTTAAAATTTGCTCTTCACCCAGTTCACAGCCATGCAGAAAATTCTCGCTGCTCACAACTTGAGACTGGCGAAAATAACGTAGGTGTTGATACACTAGTCTATTTGCCCGTTAGCTAATTCGCGTATATGATGGAAGGAACGGCTCCTAGTGTTTACTGATCAAGAACTACTAGCCAAGGCACTACCACCCAATGATAAAAGCTTTCTCATTCAGACCGGTTACCTCCTACGATTCTGCATCTGTTCGTGTATTATTGAAGTGCTTGTGTCTAATAATTTCATTAGACCTAAGTCCGGATTAGCATTTGAATCCTACCGTATCATTATTAAGATAATATAACAAATCGGTAGTGACTGGAAGCAAAAGACCAGTTTTGATCACAATGATGTACATTGAAAAGTAAGTCGCAAATTGCATACTAGCTTACTATTGTTTGGAATACCAAAATATTGGAGAGATATTTAGACTATTATAGGAAGGAATAATATCCAGAAAGTATGATCAGAAAATAATGCCTTCATATTATAGTCAATAGGCTAAACTACTCGATGGTACTATGTAAGGTCGAGTTGATGTTGAGTTTTGGAGGAAGTCGGTAAAGAGAACTGAAATATATTTCGTGTTAACTGAAAGAAAACTTTGTAGTCAATAAAATGAAATTGTTTAGTACATCGTTCCCAAATGGTTATGATAATAAGCTAAACACCAGAGAATTTTTTGAAAAACTCGCTTTCAGTTAAAACAGTTCCATAAACACTGCTCGTTAGTGATAAGTTCTCAACTATATTGGATGTCATATCCCAGTAGAAAGGTAAAGTATTTGGCGAACTTGAACTCTGTCCACATATACATTCATAAGTTGGTGGTGGTGCTATCCAGCTGCCATCCCCACGCTGCATATGACTACGGTCTGATGAAAAGTGATTTAAGTAGTCGACGCCAGGGATAACTCGATAGGACCTGCGACAACAAAGAGGAATGACATGGCATTGCAAACAAATATAATTCATGCGATACAAGTGAAGAGCAACCTTTAAAAAATTTCCCAAGTAAAAGTTCATTACAGATGATGACAAGCTATTTAGTCGACAGAAGAAGCAAATGTTTGCAATTTTACTAGTATATAAAACTCAATACATAAATGTATGCCAATAATAACTATGTTCATAAGTGACAATATAAATGATACGTACTGAAGAATAAAGTATATGAATGGAGTAAACATCATGATGTTTGGAGTCTGCCACAACTGTTTCAAAAACTCGCTTCCTTAAGTATGTTATTCTTAAGGTGGGTAGAATAAATAGCTGACTGCACTATTTTATATTGGTTTCCATGGCGGTTTACTCTCGCTTTTCGGTGCATCGACTGTTTTAATAAAAACATATTAAACATTCTCAAACCTATTCAATGTGAACCAGAATGAATTAAAAACTGAAATAAAACAGCAATCAATGTATGTGATCAAGATATTAACTGAATGGAGAGTTAGCGGCTAGCAAAATTTGTTTCATCTAACAGCTTATAATATTTAATCATGTTATCTTATTAGATAAAAAGCCTATCCTACTAAGTAGCTGTCTTGTCTTCAGATACCTGTTCATAAGGGGTTACAGCTAGTGAATAGCCACCATTCAGTCACTTCATAACACTGGATATTACGCATCAAGAAACTTCGTTCATTTTTCAACCCTCTTTCATAAAAACGATATATAAAATCACGAAAAAATTAGCAGTACGTACAAAAAACATAATAGTGACGTATTAATTAGACATAGTATCGGGTATCGTTTGGATTTCAGTAGTCGTTTGTTGGTCATCTATTTAACAGTAAAATTAGGCTGATTAATAGGAGAACAAAAGCTCCATGCGCCAACACGCAAACACTAACAAACAAGATACTGTTACAAATCAAGTGTGGCTGTAGATATACATATTGGTCACATCTGATTTTAGCTGTTTGTTAAACTAATAAAACCTATGTTTGTTTATATCCGTGGCTGTTAATTCTTTGACTGTTTGTTCCAGCTTATGAATTTGATGTCTGCAGCATGAAACAATTTTTTAACCGTCACCTCAGTTTCGTTAATCAACATTGTATAACAAAAGATGGATCCTCACTACAAGACAGGCTAAGTATTGAAATATTTCAAAATAATATGTCCATAGTGTCAGATCAGTATTTAGAGCAGCAAACAATAAAGCAGTAGTTCAACTCTGTCTAATAAACAACGTAACCTAAACTAAGGCTTATTCTTACCATGATGAGTGAGAGTAACTGGACTGACAGCTAATAGAGTCTATGTGATGACTTGGATTATTGGGTAGTATTGGTCTTTAAATGTCAATCGTATGGCACTGCAGTGGGAGCGCTTCTGTCCTGTACTTATAAAACTTAGTCTCTAAGCAGAGGAAGTTCAACGAATTTGTCTTTAATCGTTTTTTTCGCTGAAGGATCGGATTTAACTGTAACAAGAGACAATGTTGAGTTTTAGCTGTGTTTAGGAGTAATGGAAATCATGACCCAATCAGTGAGAGTTGCTCTAGTGTTCTAGACAAACTATGCATATTAACACAAAGGTTATTATACCAGAAACTAACTGTAGAAACTAGATGAATGATCAGTTTATTACTTAGATTGCTGAATGAAAAGAAGTAGTATTTGTTTAAAATATGATTGTACTTCACGGTTTTGCGGGAAGGGTTTGAGAGACTGGATAAGCCAGTGGCACCTACATTTACCACGTACGGCTCCAAACTATAGCCAGTAGGAATCTAATGGTTTCCAATTGTCCTTTATAAACTATGTGGTGTATCTTTTAGATGAATGAGATCTGAAATGAGTGTTGTTTGAACTATATTACTTAATATCCATATCGTTATTAACACAAAATTCTCGCCTAATATTATCATGAACCATCGACCTCTGAGATGATGACTTTATATTTCAGGATGAGGATTTTGTGGTTTGGGCTAGTATGGTTGTGAAGCCTTCACTGTTCTTCAGCAGCACGTGCTTTTCTTTCCTCCAAGAATTATTTTGTTATAAGTAATAAACACAATAGCTAGTTAGCAATAGAGAAAGTATATCTCATGTAGTACGTGATTATAGGTTTCTGAACACGTCATTGAAATTACTAACCAATGTTTCCTTAAAAAAGATGGCTTAAAACATTGTTGATGCATTTCGAGTGACTTTTAGTTGATTCCTAATCACCTAATCATCAACTCCAAGTTAAATGAAGCTAACTGCCGTCATCAAGACATTTGAATAAAAAGTGAGCGGATACTCCTAACCTTTGGTACTTTTGTTCAAGAGAGAACCTGCGTAACATACTTAAAGTATCTAAACTGGGTTAGGAGAATTTGATCAAAGGCATCGTTGAAGTACACCTCAGTAACGTTCTACAATAACACTAGTTATTGGTATATGGTTAGTGATAACACAAGAATTGAGACTACATTTTGCAATTATGCGCAAAAGTGACATATTCACGACTGCAAAAATCTTACCTATGTAGTTCTTCTGGTAGGACGGTGTTCCGCCGGAGTCCGTGTGTTAGGTACTGGACAAATGGGGTGGGAAACGGTAGTAGTGAGTCAAAGTCATAAACCCAGTAATTAGACATATCGTCGTATATAAGAAAAACGTGGTAGTCCTTAAAAGAAAACAAAACAGTAAACTTGTAGCTTCAATTACCCATATGATGAAATGGTCCATTTGAGGATCTCCCTTTACTTGGGCGAACAAACCAACCTAGTATCTGGTTTAATAGACTTTGATGACAACTTACAGATTTGTTTACATTGGACAAAAACACAACGTATCCACAACGTAAGTTACCGAACCCCCTCAGATATTCTAAGAGCTTGTACACATTCTCTTCACTGAGCTAGTAGAAATGGTTATAACTTTGACAGACCAGTAGCTAGGAGTGTATGTGAGTTGTTTTTTAGCAATTTTCATGACTGACATCACGAAACATATCAATGAAAGATCTTCACCAATTTAGGACGAAAAACGAATTCATTAACCAAGCGCACTTTCGGTACATTAGGTTATACGCTACATAAAGTATAGAGCAGACGATGAACTAAATGCTTTATATAAAGCAGAGAAATCTAGATTTCTTCTGCTTAGCAGCTGCTAAGCAGAAAGAACGAAGTAATACTTTTCATCGTATATGTTGCAGTTGTATTAAAACAATTTATATCCAGTTGGAGGTGGTCCTTCCAAATTTCTTTGGATCCTAGAGGAAAATGCGAATTTTCATAGGACTTAAGTCCCAAAATCGGAAGATAAGGACCGTTCTAATGCAAACTGGATTCGAAACGTAGAGAAGGAAGACTGGATTTTCTTTGATAATTAACTTGATTCCTCAAAATAACAAGTGAATAATGATGAGTAGAATAATGGCCAAACCCTCAAATGTAGTTGGTTAGCTGGTGTTTATTTTAGGCAACGCTTCAGGGGTATCGTCCACTGATGGGGGTTGCGAGCACTTGAAGGTCAAACTGTCTCAAGATGATTGGTGCGTCACATCGACAACTCGTGAAGTTTTTTAGAGGCGGTCAAATCAAGACATTTTCAGATTTGAATTGAGTTCAGCCACACCATGTCTGATAACGTCCATCCTTCAAGTAACGAAGATGATGTCATCGTGATGATGCATGATATAGGACGAATCTTCAATGATATTATGTTATCTCGGAGATTTACAAGTTGGGACAATTTTGAGACCTGTTTGAAAGAAGTACATATACCCAATCAACCAATAAAGGGGAAATAAAGGCGAAAAACGGGGAAATCAAGGGGAAAATGCTTTGGTAAGGAAAGGGGAAATTTAGGGGAAAACGCGCCAAAATGTCGCCTTTTTCGCCTGTCTGGGGGAAATAACGCGGATTTCCCCCTTTTTGTCGCCTTGTCGCTAAATTGTCTACTTTTCGCCTAAATATCCGCAGGATTGTCTACTTTTCGCCTAAATTTCCGCCGAATTGTCTACTTTTCGCCTAAATTTCCACCGATTCGTCTACTTTTTCGCCTAAGTATCCGCCGATTCGTCTACTATTTCGCTTAAATATCCGCCAAATTGTCTACTTTACGCCTCAATATAAATGCACACAAAATTGCGCGTTTTTTATCCAACCTTAAAATCGCCATTGGCATTACCCAAAAGTTCTCCAAAATTCACCTTTACTTCTACAACAAACCACAGCGAAAGTGCAATGGATGGGAAAAGCGCTATATATGTTTATATATTTTTATTTCAAAGGAAAAGCGTTTTGTTTTACAACATAATAGCGGAAGCTTGAGCATCAGTCGTTTAGCATTTCATTTGTAATTCCAAATTCGTCGTGCTTTGAGATCTGCAACAGAAGAAACATGTGATGTATTATTTATAACACATGTGCATTTAATCGAAAGTTCACTGACAATGAGTAAGAATTCAAGATCTCTAACGAAAAAATGTTTATTAAAAATTAGGTACAACATCAAACAAAGTTACACCGACTACATTCTTCAGCAACGTTTGTTCGGCTATTGACAGTGAAAACAGTCGTCCTGTGAATTCTGAATAGTAAAAAAATGAAAAGTCAAAACGAATTCTGAAAAACATGGCCGAAGACACAGAAAAGTACTTTAAGCTAAACTTACGGTTATGTTCGTTAAGACTGTTGACTGCAACTATAAAGCAGTAGGAAAATTATCACTTTAAATTAGTACATACCTGCTCCTGCTTCCGTCGATTACGCATCATCAACTTGTCTCTGACGTCATGGAAATAACCTTGTGTCGCGATGTCGTAAAGCTTCGCAAGGTCTTTTTCATTAACGGAGGATGACAAGAAGCGATTTGTCAATGCACCTGAAGTTTAATTTATAAGTATGGGTTACTTCGTATGCAGCCATAAAACCGACATTTCTGAAGTGCGCGCTTTGAAGAAGTGCCCAGCAATGTGAAATTACTGGCCACCTCAGGTGTCATGATGTACGACAAAACGTAACGCATTGACATTTTAGAGTCATCACCCATTAACCTCGTCAGCATCGCCATCTGTTATACAAAGATGTCAGTAAATTAATGTTGCTGACTTACAAATCTGTCCCTCGTTTCCTTCTGCTGCAACCCAGTGTCCAGCATCTGCAGTTCCTCTTCCGATGACAAAGGAAACTGCTGATTTGATACACCGCAATCGAATTGATGCGGATGATCATGTTCACTAAACTTGGCTAGTAGTACCTTGACATTTGTACTCAAGTCAGTCATCGCTGAAGACATGTTTTGCATTGTCTTACTCAAATCAGCAATAGCTGACGACATGTTCTTCAAGGTTGTGTGCAACCTATCAAATCTTAAAAACGTCAATTGATGATACAGGTGACTTACTGGCCCGCCGAAGCACAGTCTACATGCTTAGATTCCACTGTTGATGGTGATGTTTCTAATTGTGTAGAACTACTTCATTTACATTTACATAGAAATGAAACTTACTTGGCAATTGGCGAGACAACTTTGTCGAACAACCGAAACTTCGGATAATGCACTTGGCTATTTCCAGCCTGCATCTCGGCCACATCCATATCGACTGAATTGTAAAGAAACCCTTCTTTACGCTTCAATGCACCTCTAAGAAAAGTTAGTAATAAAAATGTACAGACCTCTTTGGTTTTTCCGTGTTTAACGGCAATGTGTTCTCATCCGTTGACGTGTTATTGCGATGCTGCTCCAGTATTTGTAGGGACACTAACATGTCCTTGGCAGACTGCAGAGAATCTACAGTAAACTATAGTTTAAATGTATTTTACTCACCAATTTCCTGAATAACTTTGCACTTCAGAAGTGACCAGCTGTCATCTGGCTTATCGCAGTTTCGGAGGTGTATGTCCACCAGCTCAGTTGGAAATAGGCAAAGGTCTTTGCCAAAAATCCATTGCCTGGCTGCAATCATAAGTTTTTTTTGGCTAGGAACGTCAACAATGACGTATTGTTTGCTAGCGGGCTAAATATAAAATAATCGTTAATGAAATTGTTTACGGCGATTAATGAAGCACAAATACAACGAAATATATTCACAGTATAGTATGTAACAATGGAACTATCACAAAATTATTGATGCAATTAATGGCTATACATTTACAGTCAATGTCCTTAAGCGATATCAAAGTGTGTTCATGGCTAACTACGGAGCATATAAATATTCCTATATCACTGGACGGGAACGGATCTTCGAAGTAATTGCGTGGGTCAGTGAAAGGCCGAAATTTTAGTAGTCCGTCGTCCCGTATATCAGTAATTAATCCAGGTTGTCCCTGAACTACTACCACGTTATCAGGCTTGAATGAAGTTATTTTAGTATTATTAAAAATAATTTCTTGTCGCTTGGAGACCTTAGCGGTGATAGGACTACTGTGACTTGATTTAGTAACTTGAAGCCTATCGCAGAATGACATTTTCTCAGCATAACGCTGAGCTGCTTGCTTAGCAACTGCGTACCCGCTGTGCACAGAACTTTTTATTTGTCTCATGTAAGATTCGAATGGAAAGGCTGAAAAGCAATCTAAAGGTCCATGTGCACGAACGTCGTCAGGAAGGTGCTGTAACAAATGCACATATATGTACCTTATAAGGTAATATGACTTCTGTGGTTAATGATTATTTTTGTAGTATACGTATACTAGGTACGTTATGTCAGTATGTAAAAAGAACAATGATGACCCAAATCTAAAATGCGTTCACAGTGGTACGCAGGTTGTTGAAATCACATTGTAATTAATCGAGCTTAGACATTAAAAATATCAATAACATTTTACAATGTGTTCAAGCAAACACTGAAGTTAAAGTACTAAGTGAACGTGCGAACATATCTATGATTTGCTTCAGTCGTAGGGAGCAAGTAGCTGTTTACCACGCGTTCCCAGTGGTAATATGTATCGACTCGACTTATCAGACCAACAAAGTTGGGTAAGTAACGAATCGCAATCTATTTATCTTACAGTTTTCCACTGTTCCAGCTAGTGGTGACTGATAGTCTTGGGCAAGGGCACACTGTTATGTATGTTCTTTGCAAGCAAGAACGACGAGATGTAAAACTATTGGAATGCTTCAAAGATATAATGTGCTGTACTTATGATACACACACTTTTGTTATGGATTCGGCAGCAACCGAAATTTCAGCAGTGCAGTCTACGCACAGTCATGCCGACATAGTACTTTGTTCATTCCATGTCTTAAGAGCATTTTTCAGGAAGGTAAGTGTTAGCTGTTCAAATTATTTTCTGTAGTTCCGAAATCCTGATGTACGCAAATGCTTGGAACACCTTGTAAAGACTAGACGGTCTGATACACGAGCTTCGTTTTTCGTAACGCATTATATTAATTTTACTCAAAAGTACGAACATCTGAGGATCCATTTCCCACGGGCGTATGATTACATCAAAGATTACTGGATTGCCCGGAAGTCAATGTGGGCCCGTTGTTACCGGCGACATGTATTAAGCCTGGGTAACCACACGAACAACCGTTTCGAAAGTGCTCATAAACATCTAAAAGAATGTCTTAGAAGAGGTGATTCTCTGCTATTGACGCTCTGGAAAATTTAGAGCAAAACAGATACTGACTTACGTTTGCGTCCATATGACGCTGTGAAGGATCTTCAACGTTTTCCAATTGTTGAGGTAAGAAATATAGTTAAATGTTTCATTAGTTCCAGGTTCCTATGTCATTTCGAACTCTTTTAAATGAGTTCACATCTTTTGCAGCTAAAATTGTAGCTGTAAATTATAAACGTGTTAGGTCAATGGTTGACTATGAATACAGTGGTCTTGAGTGCTGTTAGAGGTTTGAGGGCGGTTACCACTTCCCGGTTGCCCACACCGTGGAAGGGTTCTTCTGGAGGTACCTGGAAAGGAAATTGGATTAGAGGTGGTCATAGTGACCTGAGAGCGTGACCGCAGTGCCCAAGGGACAGCTGCTTGAGGTCGGTCACACACGACCTTTTTATGAGTGATTTTTGTGTTAGCTCCGTACTTGTTGAGTCCTTACCGCCGGAGACGGATATCCGTGGGATAAGGCGAGGTGTGCATTTTTAGGGTCGACCTTTTCTAACCCCACCCCTCCTTGTGGGAAGGCAGCATCGCTGTCATGCTGGTTGTCTGAAGGAAACACCTTACTGCTGTCACACCTCTGTACAGTCAGCAGTACGACTTCGCCTTCGGACCTTGGTTTTGTTGCTTTTAGTCTTACCGCTCTTCAACCGACCTGTCTGGCATGGTAGGACCTTGAGGAACGGTTGTTCCAGCCAGTATAGCTCAGTTGCTTCATCACGATAGGCAAGCCCGACCACCACGTCAAGGTAGCAACAACGGTCAGGTTAGGGTTAATGAGACACGAATGTATAGCAGGGGAATACATCCAGTGCTACGACAAGGGTATGATGTATGTTGTTGGTACTTCACGTGCACGATGTGCTTGTGAGCGTTTCAATGACTACATGC